TCACCCTTTTAGGGTATAAGCTATTAAGAACAGTTCAGCATGCTGCTAAATAATTGCAAAGTGGTTCAAAAACACCTATATTTTGGGTGCAATTCAGAAAGAAAAAAGCTTCTAATTATATAAACCTACATCAGCAACTCTGTTGATATATGAAGTGAGAATCACAAAGGCAGTGTTAAGCCTTGTCCTAATTAGGAAGAAGTGAGGCCTGTATCTGATTTTTTTCCTATCTCAATATTCTGAGGAAAGGACATCTTTTAGACATTATCAGGATGTTGGAAGAATTCATAGTGAAACTGAGAACCTCCGGTCCAACCATCATGGGTCTTGTGGTGTAACTGTTTTGTTATAAATAATTTTACTATGTTAAAATTAAAATCTTCCTTTTAATTTAAACAGAAAAGGGGAGGCAATGTGGGATTTTCCTCTGTATGCTGTGAATACTATTGATTAATAAAGAAATTGCTTTGAGCCTATGGCAGAGCAGGGAAGAACAGAGCTAGGCAAGTATGGGGGTGGGAGTGGGGAGAAGGATGCTAAACTAAATGCTGGGAGAAAGAGGGCAGAGTCAGGGAGAAACCACATAGCCTGCCAGAGACAGATGCTGGAACTTTACCTGGTAAGCCATAGCCTCGTGATGATACACAGATTAATGGAGATGGGCTAGTTTAAGATGTAAGAGTTAGCCAGAAATATACTTAAGCTATTGGTCAAGAAGTGACTTAATTAATACAGTTTCTTTGTGGTTATTTCAGGGCTGATCAGCTGGGAACAAACAAGTGGCCTCCTAAAACAGTCTTCTTTCATTAAACCTTTGCTTTCCTGATTTAGGACTATATGTAAAGCAAGAGGGAGACAAACCAGGAGGGAGTAGCAGTGGAAAGAGCTGAGCTGTGTTGGGAAATACATAGCATGTGGCCTGGCCTGGGAGATAAACTTAGAACTGGAGCTCAAAGGAAGCAGTTATTGCTCTCTCCCTCACCATTTGCATCTTGGTAAACTGATTTTCTCAAAAGCACCTATCTCTGCCTTCTCTGATGATACCACAACCAGCAACATGGTCATTCACTCCAGGGTTCTACCTGCAAGGTCTCACAGAGGGATTTCTTATTCCATGCTGGTACAAGCCAAACAGCTTTCTAAGGAGTGTCCCTCATTTAAAATAGTGCCTTTATGAGTCTACTTCACATGGATGTTTCCAGAGAACACTATTCAGTGTTATATAGCCAGTTCAGGAGCTCTTCCCTGGAAAAACTATTTCTCTCTCACTCTCAACATTTCTTAGTTGCCTATAGTTCTTTGTGTAGGGTTGAGGATTTGAATTTTTTTCCTCTGTGCACTTTCACATGTTTATTGTTCTGCTCAGTCCAAGTTTAGGTATCATGAGCTCCTTACAAGTTTAGTGAGACTTTATGAATATAAACCCTGATATTTTATGGTTTCACTTATGTATTTAGGAATAGATGTGTGTGTGTGTTTGTCTGTGTGTGCACGCGCGCGTGCGTGCATAACAATTAATGAAAAGGGAAAAAGAGGCCCTAAATTTGTAAGAGAGCAGGGATGGGTATATGGAAGGGTTTTAAGTGAGGAAAGGGTAGTGAGAAATGATAAAATCTCAAAATACAGAAGAAATAATTTTTACAACGTAGCTCTTTCACATTATCTTTTTCTCTGTGTTCCTTGGCTCTGAAGTCTTGCCAACACTTCATTTTCTTGCTTACATATTTCTTAAGGATAACTTTGCACAGAGCAAAAAGGGCACATATTTTCCTGCTACTATAAGACTTACAAAAAGTATTTGTGAAGATAACAATGTGTTTATGGAGGTTGGCCTCTAAGTGATAGGCACTACTTAACTTAACCATCTAGCCAAAATTAACATAGAAAGCTACACAATGGTTTATTCACAATTTCTCAGTGACTTCCTATTTTAATGCAATTGATCAGACTACTTTACATTGTGCTGTGGTTCATAAAAGAGAATTTTATTTTTTTTCAGAGCCTTACTCTACAAAGAAGTATATGACTTATGGAAAAACTCATTTAGTTTTTTTATATATTTTTTGAACAATTTTTATTATGCATACCAATCACAATTAACTTTTAATTCCTTTAAAAATACTTGAAATATAAAAAGATCCAAAAATTCAAGAGCAAAGGTTAATATACCAGATACAGTCTCCTCCTTTAAGGGAAACACTGTGTTTAAGGCAGTATATAGTCTTTCAGAGCGTGTATAACACACAGAAACACATGCATGCTTAAATCATGTGCTCTACTCCTATGTGCATGTTTCTATTATCTCACAAGTGATTTTTATCTTGTTTCAGTTTGTGTTGCCCACACAAGCTTTAACTTCAGGACTTTGATGTATCAGTTGTCTCTTAGTTTGCACATCTGGGTTTGTTTATGCCACACAGATCCAGTACCCATGGACCTAGAGCAAGTGCCTCACAGTTGTTCTTCTTCACATCAGAATAAGTCTGGTTGTGTATATCAGAATACGTCTGAGGCGTGGTGTATTAAAAAGAGCCTGTAAAAGTAATTCTTTTCATTTTCAGTTATTGTATAAGTTCTTCTTCTCAACTCTTGACCTATAAAGATAGACACACAGAGATCCAAAGAGATTGCTTATGACTCCAAGGTGAAGACTGATCAGCTTGCCTAGTCATCATCTCTATAGAAGCTGATATTTTGCTATGCCCTAGCTCTTCACTTGGAAGTATTGCATGGTAGTGGTGGCCAAGAAGATGCATTGTAATTTTCAGTCACAACTATAGTAGATGTGTTTTCTCTGGCCATATTTTCATAGAATGATCATGCTTCAAATTCCTTGTCGATTCTTATGTTTATGAAATGATATTTTATTGCTGTTTTAAGTTAAAGATGTCAAACATGTGACTGTGTATTTATCAGTAATATGGAATTATTTTCTGTGAATTTGCTGATCAGTTTTATGTCAATTTGTAGAATGTTTTTTACTTACATGTAACAGCTCTGATTCTCTATATCAGATATATGAGAGAGCAATGAACTTTTAAAATTACATATTATTTATTGTGTGTATGTCTGCACATGCATATGCTGCAACATTTATGTGGAGGTTATAGGCTAGCTTGCAAGAGTAACTGCTCTCCTTCTCCCATATAGGTACTGGGAATTAAACTCAAGGCTTGCCAAGCCTGGCAGGAGGTGCCTTTTCCCACTAAGCAATCTTACCATCCAGAAAATGAGAGAAATTTTATATATCTAAGTACTACTGACAGCTGCATATAAACCTGTAAAGTCATCTAGAGCCACAAACATGCCAGTTTAAATATCAAATAAAGTGGAATTAGTATAACTCAGAACTCTCTGCCAAAGAAAAATAGTTATGATTTTATTTAAGTAAAACACTCATTTCTAAATGTCAAATTCATATAAAATATTCTCATACTCAAATAGGTCAATTCCAGTGATCTTCATTTTTCAGTCCCATAAAAAAGTTCATTCTCAACACAAAGGGATAACTGAAAGAACCCAGGTTTCTTTTATCGGTTTTCAAAATAAAAGTTTTTAGAATTTTATGTTGAGTTGACATGGGATAGTTACACATTTTTATGGGGCATGGTTTGATGTTCTGATACATATATGCATTTTTATTGACAAAAATGTGTGTAATTAGAATGCTAATCACTTCAGATTCAATTCAGTCATGGCAAAACAACTAAATGACCCCAGAATTCTTACCACACAGTTACAGCTCAATGGTGATATGGGAAGCTCAGGTGGTATGGAGAAGTAATCCTCATTATTCACATGGGAAAGAAAAATTGCCCAGTTCAAAGCTTGGTTTTCATAGTTATTGTTGCAAGAATGCTTATGCCTCCTTCGACCTGTACGTTCCTTCCCCAAAAATCATTTGACTTTTTCTAGTACAGGTGAATGTTTCTAGGAATTATGTAGTTCGGGGTAGTCTGACCATAGAGAGTAAATGAGCAGAATTTCCCACACCAGGGATTAAAATGAATGTCACAATATTCAAGAGGGTTAAAATGGGAATAAAGATGAACAAGGCATGAAATTCGAAATGGATGCAGACAAATTATGTTTCTGTTTTATTGTCCCTGTAAATAAAATGAGTTGTGCTTTTGGCTTCCATCTGCCACAGGAGTGGGTTGCTATGAGATAACAGCTTAGAAAATTGAATTATGATTTTCAAGAGTCAAAAAATTAGCACCATTTTCTTTTTCAGAATCTGTAGAAATATTCCAGACAGTCTAGTGAACTTACTTTCTGCTGGTGTGTGTGTGTGCAAATTTGTTCTCATGAGAAAGGGCATCAGCTTTTAAGGAACTTAAACATTCATCTTTTCTCATACCAAGGTGATATTGATAAAAATAGGTAACCTATTGATCTTCTTTTCTACTTACAGGTCTTTCTGCTGAGTTAATCCTATTTTACTTTGTTCACTCAAATGGTCCTTCTATAACATTCCTCCTTCTACATCCATTTCTTAATTCCTGTATTTCCATCCAAATGTCTGCTATACACTTTCTGTTTATAACTTCTGGTATTAATTAGATGTTTGTTGATGTTTTCTAAGGGCAGTTTAAGAGTGATAGTTTTGTGTGAATTATAATACTGAATCCAACTATTATATAGACAAAAAGAAGGCTTTAAAATATTAAGAAAATTTGGGCAAATTTTCACAAGTGGGAACTAACAAAATTGAAACTCAACTCAGGTTACCATAAATGTGAAATTTATATGCATCTCCTATCTTGTACCATCTTGCATGGATGGCTGTCATAAGTTTCTTTTTCTTTTATTTCCAAACCATCATCTTGCAAGAAGTAATAGTTTTCTTTCTTTTATTAAGGTAAGTGACACAAGATAACTAAATCAGACCTTTTCAAGACTGGCCCAAAAGGCCTACAATTAACTTTGTCCAGTAAGTGGAATGATGGACAGCAAGAGAAAAGTTTTCTCATTTGCTGTCATTTCTTTTGTTCATCCAGTGATGCCACGCTTTGCTGAACAAGTTGAGGTTGCCATCGAAGCCCTTAGTGCCAACGTCCCTCAACCATTCGAGGAGAACGAGTTTATTGATGCCTCACGCCTCGTGTACGATGGTGTTCGGGACATCAGAAAGGCTGTGCTGATGATCAGGGTATGTGAAGCTTTTAGAGAGTCCCCAGAAAATTTGATGTCTTCCTTGTTTTTAGTTATTCAGTGTAATCTGCAAAAAAATGTTTGATCTCTAGCATATTCTTATCATGTGGGCTTTTTGCATATAAATGGATGAGTGTTTCCCAACAAGCCCAGTTCAGTACTGAATGTTCTGATATATTCTAGTTCCTTCTGACATGCATTTTTTTTCCTGTAAGTTTCATATAATTTGGTAGAATCCCTGCTACTTTCCACTTGTGCCTCTTGCAGACACCATCTTCACACCTGGATCACTCGAGAGTCATGACTTGTTAAGGAGTGAAGTATTTTTACCTTAGTACTGTGAATATAGAAGCAACAAAATTAGAGTTTATTATGCATAAAGCAGGATAGTCTTGTATGAAAGCTCCTCCCATAACCTACCTCATTAGTTTTCTTTCCCCATGTTTTTATGTCAAGCATGTGTGAGTTTTTACCATTATTGTCTAAGTAATAAACCATACAGCAAACCTAGAAGGTACACATTAGAGTTGGCTTTAAACCTATGCTGTATCATTTGTAACTTGTTCTGTCCACCCAAAATATGAGTTAATCTATCTCTAAGACCCCTACTTTACTCCATATAATTTAGCTGCTGTATATTTCATTGTAAGTTTTATGTTAGTTTGTGACTTCTAAACTTACCAACCCCTTAATAAAATATATTGTTCAAGTAATGTCATTAGTAATGGAGCTTTTCCTTCCTTCAAATAAACAACATACATAGAAGGATAATTGAGAGGAAATATGTATCAATTAAAATTTGAGAGATGAGTTTCTTCAATAGCTTCCCAAGGGCATACTGACCAATATAATCATGATAACCAATTTTTATATTATTATTAAAAACTGAAAGCTATACTAAAGAGTAAATGCAAATGAGTGGTTGGACAGTAGCCTCCGTAGATCAAAGTACTTACTGTGCTCAAAGAGGATATGAGTTCAGTTGTCAGCACCTCTAATGGATAGATCACAAATGCATGCTAATTCCGGTTTCACATGACGAAATTCCCTCTTAAGGCAGTATACACAAATGGTACATGCAGTTAAACAGGCACATGTCTATACTTATAAATGAAAACACCAATTTTTATTTATTTTAGAAGTGGTAAATGAAATTAATTATAACACTTTCCTTACAAGATGTATCCCTGATATTACTGTTCCAGCATGCTGCACCAGTCTCGTTTAAAGCACACAATAGCTTTACAGAACTAGTGGATGAATTAGCCAGACTCCTTAATCACACACTCCAGAGCTATTTCTGGAGCTGACTGATGAAATCAACTTTAAAAGACTATAACATTCAATAAAATTTCATCAGGTCATATTAATTATACTAAACACATAGAGTTCAAGTTTGGACTTAGGGGACTTGAATTTCTTGTGCATTTAATTTACCCATTCTATAACTATGACACTCTGACCATCTTTCAAGACTTGGCTAACCATATTTCCTTTTATGACTATTACTTTCTTTAGGCTAGAAGTTTTTGGAAAACATGGCTGTCTTTTCCTGCCTTCATTGGATTCTACTGTTTGACATACATTGAAAGAGACAAAGACAGACAAAGGAAGGGAGTAAGAGAGGGAGGGAGAGCCGGGCGGTAGTGGCACACACCTTTAATCCCAGCACCTCGGAGGCAGAGGCAGGCAGAGTTCGAGGCCAGCCTGGTCTACAAGAGCTAGTTCCAGGACAGGAACCAAAAGCTACAGAGAAACCCTGTCTCGAAGAGGGAGGGAGGGAGGGAGGGAGGGAGGGAGGGAGGGAGGGAGAAAGAGATGGTGAGAGTATCTGTGCCCAAACTCAGAAGACTGAAAGTTGATGGAGAAAAACAAGGTAAGACAATTAGAGTATGGAGGGAAAGGATAGTGCGTTTTTAAAGACATGTTCCCATTCTTTGCTAACTTGTGAAATAAGGTAACAGACCATGAGAGTTATGTTTGCCAAGTGTTCTGCAATAAAGCCTACTGTAATCCTCAAGACACATTCCCTCTTTTGCCAGTTTTTTTTGCTTTGTTAGCCTTCACATTTTTGTGACAACCATTTGTCTGAAAGGCTGAGGAGGTTTATAGCCATCATTCATTTTTTTTCACTTACAAGCCATAAAAAATCCACAGTTTTAGATAAAATGCTATATAGTCATCACAGGGAGTGTCATTTCTCCCATCTCAACATTTTGAAATAAATTGCTTAAAATTTAGGAAAAGAGACTATATACAGTGGATATAAATTTTTATTTTTAAAGACTTTATCCAGTCAGTACATAAATGATTTTCTTTGTATTTAATAAATGTCAAGATTTCATTTTAATATAATTATTAAGTCTATATTACTTAGGAAATTCTATTGTATAAGGTTAGAAAAGAATGATCGGGGGTGGAGTTGGTGCTTTTCCTGACATCTGACATGACTGTGTAACCTCCTCCCAAACTGCTGATTGTACTTCACAAAAGAAACACATCTCTTTAAAGTCATTTAAAGGAGTGATAACTGCAGAAAGGACCATGAGTCAAATTCTCCATTAGCTTGCCTCTCAACAATCAATACATATTTAATGGTGATATTTTTGTTTATGAGCTCAAGGGTAGCTCCAGGCAGCCGTCAGATGTAGACAAAGTTTGTGTTCTCTGGGTTTCAATCTCACTTTCCAAGATCACTTACCTGTTGTGGAACAGGTCTTTCCCCTGAATTCATGAGCCACGTTTTCATTTATTTTTTAACCAAATATATTCCCTGTGATGGGCAGACACGTAGAAATTTTCTCATTATCTTCACAAGGCATTAGAAAAATAAATATGCAAACCAGGGTAACCATTGCACATCGATCTCCTCATCCACAGCAGGTATGTTTAAGCATACCTCTCTCTGAATAATTAGTTCATTAGTACTGAACCAGTGAAATGCAAGGTTAGGGGTATATTTTTGTGAGTCTTTGATCATATTTTCTTTAAATGATCAATATGTACCCCCTTCCATATATGTGTTTGTCTAAAGACACTGTGCTACACATATATTATTGAGACTGAAACTCAGACACCAACACAGACTCATACTGGAACACAGTTTATCCAATGTGGGTGTTTTCTCAGACTACATGATTCAGGAATATTAAATTCACCACTACCTTTGCCAAGTTTGACAAGCTTTCAACACTGCTTTTGATTGCTTTTTTTAAACAGAGAAGTCAGCCCAAACCACATAAAATGTGGCACTAAATAGACCACGGAAAGGACAATTGTTCAAAGTATGAGTGTTCAAAACCGAGACAGAGCCCTGCCACGTTTGAATTTAGCCGGAGATACGCACTTTAGTGTCTTGGAATAACACAGATTACTGACTTTGTTGATAGTATTACAAATAAGATTTTGTGAAGAGATAGATTCACAAATGCGGAATATGTAGGTATTGAGGATCAAGCACACACTTAAAATTTGTTTGCTAATATACATGAGTAGTAGAAAAAGAGATTTCCTGAATAAATTGGGAGTATGGGGTCCTTGGGAGAGGGTTGAAGGGGAGGGAAGAGGCAGGGAGGGGAGCAGAGAAAAATGTAGAGCTCAATAAATATCAATTAAAAAAGATACTTTTCTTTACTCTTGGAAATTAGGATGAGTAAAAGCGTAAAAAAAAATACTATTGGGAATTAAGTATAATGGTTAGGTAGTATCTTGGTCTTGAGACAGCTACATTAGATAAAAGAGTAGTTTTCTTCTATAATATCTCTACACAAAATATTTTTAATTAATCATTCTTTCTTTGAATATTTATGTATGGGGATTTCAAAGGCAGAGCAAGGAAATAGTAGGGCCTGGGACAGTGGTTTGATAAAAATCTGTAGTTCACTGTAACTCTCCTGTGTTATGTATCAAAGTGCTTTGGAGCATTGTTAGATATTTAAAATTCTTGGAAGTAATATGGAAGTTTGGTTTATATAAGAAAGAGAAGTTGAGCCGGGCCTTAGTGGCGCACGCCTTTAATCCCAGCACTCGGGAGGCAGAGACTGTGGATCTCTGTGAGTTCATGGCCAGCCTGGTCTACAAGAGCTAGTGCCAGGACAGGCTCCAAAGCTACAGAGAAACCCTGTCTCGAAAAAACTAAAAAAAAAAAAAAAAAAAAAAAAACTAAAAAAAAAAGAAGAAGAAGAAGAAGAAAGAGAAGTTGGGGTGCTTCACAATTTAACCATTAGGTTGACCCATGTGTGCTGATGCCGTGGTGTATTTGTGTAGCTAAGTATGTAGTTATCCATTTGATAAAATGCCATCGTTAGAATCAGTGTGATCCATATCAATCCTAATATTTAAATATGTATTGTAATGTTAGTTAGGTCACACAGATGGGTTAGTTGGGGTAAATGGCTTAATCATAAAGACTGCTAGAAATTTTCTTTTATTTAATTGTTGTTCAGACTAAACACACCATGAAAGCATTGAGACCATGAGGATGCTATGAAGTAGTGAAGTACAGAATTTGTATTTTAACTGTAATTTGTGGTCATCAGCTAATTATTTTCTCTGCAAATGAAGAAAACATTATTACAGCTAAAGTCAAGGACTTTCACAGACCTAGTACTTGGCAAGTCCATTCAAGATTTTCTTTGTATCATCTGCTCATTTGAGGTTTCTTCCAGTTGGTTAATAATGTGGAATTTGTTAAAGAAGTGAATAATATTAAAATTTCAGTAGAGTCAAAATATTTCTCCTAACAATCAAATGAATGGTAGAAAGCTACTTATATACCTTGTTTTACTTTATTTCTCCTAATCACTGTCCTATGTAGATCCCTAACACCATCAATGAGAAGTAATTTTTATGCTCCTTTTAGTGGGAGATGAAATATCCCATACTGTTATATCTACCCTATACATAGGTAAACAAAGACAATATTTTCTTTCTTACATTTACAGGGAATAAACAAATATATTCAATGCCAATATTACTATGTTACTAATGTTACTATGG